TGCATATCTTATATGGCCTAATGGAGAGCATCAAGAAGGAGTAGAGGCCCGCCGAGGCATCTGCAGTGCAGACCCGCCGCAGAAACAGGTGTCCGCGGAGAGCTTTGGGGCTTACCGTTGCAAGCCGAACACGGTGGTCTGGGGAGGGAGGTTTTTTGGGGGGGCTTTCCTTCCCCCCTTCCCTATCCTCCCCCTCCCCCTTTTCTTTTTCTGTCTCTCTTTTTCCTTTCCCTCCCTCCCCTTGGGCTTAAAATGGTGTCCAAACTCAGCGCTTTGCAACACGAGCTCCTCAACGCTCTGCTCACCTCGGGAGTCACCAAAGAGGTCCTGATCCAAGCTCTGGAGGAACTGATGCCTTCATCTAGCAGTACGAACGCTCCAGCAGCCGGGGGCGGCTACGGGGTGAAACTGGAAAACTTGCAGCTATCTCCCGGCGGCGGCGGCGGCGGCGGGACGGAGGCGGACAGCAAGCCCATCTTCCACACCCTCACCAACGGGCACAGCAAAGGCAGGCTGTCAGGGGACGAAGGGTCGGACGACGGGGATGACTTTGACACCCCGCAGATCCTCCGGGAGTTGCAGGCGCTCAATACCGAGGAGGCGGTGGAACAGAGGGCCGAAGTGGAGCGGATGATCAGGTAAGCGAGGCGGGAGCTTCGGGAGAAATAGAGCGAGAGGCCCCGCGGGCGCGCAGGGGTCGGAGGAAAGAGGGGGGAGGTTCTCCGTAAGGGGGTAGAACGTTCGGAGCGGAACGTTCGGAGTAGAACGTTGGGATAAAAGGAATGGAACGTTCCGGTAAAACTGGATAGAATGTTCCAGTGACGGAATGCTCGAACTCGGTTGCAAAGGTGCGTTTCCGCCGCCCTCCCCGCCTCGGTCTGGCCACCCCTCGCCAAATAACACCGCGTGTGGTTTAAAAAAATGAACCACGGGTCAGGTTTGTCTCCAAACGTTTTCGCCCGACGCCCCCTTTACTTTGCGCCTTTCCATTAAAAGAATGAATGACTCTCTGTGTGTGCGTGCGTGTGTGTATGTGTGTCAGGCGAATGCATTCACTCGTTTACACAACTTTGTCCGTTGTCCCCACGTCGTTAGGCTTGGGGAAAAGGATGACTGAGCCACGTGAGAGTTTCAATCGATTTTTATCTCTTTCTCTCGCACACTCACAATCAAGGACAATTGCCAGTTTAAAAAAGTACATAGCACGGAGATAAATTTCGTTTTAACTGATTAAAATAATCCCAGAAAAACGAAATCAGGGTTTTTGGTCTCTCAAGAGCAGCGCAATCCTTTTAAGTATTTACTCGGAAGGACTTTTCGGATTGCCACCATCCCCTGGCAGAGAACGTGCCGCTTTTCATGTTCCCAACGATAACACCAGCAGGAGGTTAAATAACAAAATTAAGATTGCAGTGGCGCTAGAAATGGGTCGTACTATAATGATTATTTTTTTTACTTTGTTTTTATTTTATTTTATCAAACGGGAGCAAAAGAGTCCTTGGAAGGAAGAGGTGAAGAACTTGGGGGTGAAATACCGTTTTGTAGAATTAGCGCTTGAAATCATCTCAGACCCACTAAAAGTTCGAGTTGCCCCCTTTTTTTTTTTTTTTGCTGCTGAGTTGGTTTCGTTTGTTTGTTTTTCCTTATTTATTTTTTTTACCTAAACTTAGAATTTTTGTACTGTTATCTTGACGCAAAAACATTATTAGAAACTGTGTAAAAATTCTCTAAGGTAAAGATCAAATCAGTGGAGGGAGAACCCTGGGGACAAGGTTTGAAATACAGGATGGAAAGACACCTTTCATGTGGGTTTGTAGAAATGCACAAAAGTTCCATAATACAATATTTTATACAGAAAAAGAAAGTGGATGGATAAGTGTGTAAATTAAATATTCCATGCCACACAATCCCTCAAACACAGGCTGTGCTGAATTTTTCTGCTTTGAGAGGGTACTAAACTGCTTCCCTTCCAAGCCCCGGCCAATCTGGAGGCTGGCCGAAAGCAGCCACATCTTATTCCACCGTTCAGACGTAACACATGCAGACACGGTTGGTTGCCTTGAGGCTTTAATCACCGTGGGTTCAGACGTTCCTAAAGCTCTCTCAAATACTAACTGGCCATATATGTGTGATGCGGTGTGTGTGTGTGATGCTATAATTCTGTAATATCCTCCATGTGTATGCGTGTTATGATTCTTTATTGCATGCTCTCTAGGAAGCAATTATATTTTTCCTTCAAATAACAGTTAAAATATAAAGCTAAGGGGGAATGACTTCGTATTCCCACATGCTCCCGTTTAACGGGCCATTGACTTCACTGGTGCTGAATAAATAAATAAATAAATAAATAGACTTGCATTGACATAAGTTGCAGTAGGGGAAAAAGGGGGTGACTTCAAATGAACATTTTGAGGGCAGGGCTCTTCAAACGTCATCTATGTATTCCCCCCCCCCCACCCACACACACACAATATCACATCTAGCCAAGAATCATTTTGGCCAGAGTAGTAATAGTAGTAGTAATAGTAATATTGGTCACATATGAATTTCTAGAGATAGGCTTTGTGGAGAGAAAGGTGTGAATTTGATGAAAAGGAATCTAATAATAATTAACTCCGGGTAAACCTTTTTGCTTCCTAAGATTATTTCCCCCTCCCCCTAGTATCTTTTGTCCAGTAAAAAAC